AATTAAAGTTAGAGGTTGTTGAGGTCAGAAAGGCCCAATATGCTTCAGGAACTAAACAAAAAAGTAGCTTCATTCAAGCAATAGACCATCAATACTAGTAATAATTGAACTGTGTTTTTATCGTGCTGAACTTAGCTCCTAGTTAAATTAGGTTCAGGTAGAAGTACTTATTAAGTTACATGTTTTGGAATAGGTTATTTACAAAAGAGTCAGTCCGAGGCAGTGAATCCATATAGATTGACTCTTTTTTTTTTTTTTTGGACAACTTTTATAGGATTTTTTTGATGAGATAGAAGACTTAAAGCATGCTGTACAGGCGTCAGTGAAACTGAATAATGAGTATGAGAAGTGCTTGAAACAAATAAGTGCAATTTATGGACTTCCTTTAACACTACCCTTGTGACTATTAATTTAATGGCAAGTAATTTTTTCATGCTTACTGCAATATTGAAGCCTAAGCTGGTTTATGGAGTGCCACTTTTTTGATAATATTATGTCTTCTGTACTACAATTTCAATATAACAAGCTATTCTGAAATGATTTTATGTTTCGTGCCTTTGTTTTTTGTTTATATATCTTAAAAATAAAGTGGCCTGTATAATTTGTTCTGAGTTTCAAAAGCTCCCTCTTTCTTCCTCTCATTTTAAATATAAGCTTTGCAGAACTGGCCTGGGACCTTTTGTGGAAAATAAAAGCATGTTAGTATTTTAATTTGAAGAGCTTCCGCATTTATCTGTTGCTATATGAACTGTATAAAACCAAAGTACATCAGTACATTTGACAATCTTTATAAATTTCAGCCCTAAGAATGTTGGAGACAGAAGATAATATAGTGATTAATATAGCAGTAAGCTATTACAAAGGGATTTGATGAAAGAAGGAACAAGGATAAATCCCCAGTTAGAGATCTTTTATCATGATGTGTAGTTAAAATCTGCGGCTGAATGGAGGATTTGGAACTGGAAATAATGTATTCATAAAGGTGGGCCAGAGACTTGTCTTTCAGGATCAAAACAAGAATTAATCAGAAGTTTTTATTGGACTGAGAAGTGAGGAAGTGATGGAAGTACTGAAAAACCTGGAATGCTGAATGCCACAATTGGCAAGGCAGAAATGTGATGGAAAAATCAAAGTCTTTACCTTGTAGATAAGGAATAAAAGACCGCTCCCAGCTGTAAGTGTAGCCTGCAGACAGGAAAGGTTGTGAGATTTGAACTACAAACTTGAATTTCAGAGCAACTACCGTGACATCTATATATTGATAGAAATTCTGAATATTTGTACTTGTTTGAAAGATGAAAATCTGCGCCTCTGTGATGTAACATCTGGAGAATTAAGTCAAAACTTGACTTTATCATAAACTTAGCGTTTATAAAATCCTAAGCCTATTTTTGCCCTAACACGCTTCCTTCAGGTTAATAAAAGCTCTGATACTGGCTCATTAGTGATAGACTTAGGTCTCTTGCATCCCAGTTCGCTTGTTAGGACAGTTTCATGTAGCTGTGGGTTAATAAATAAGTTGTCCTCAAAGCACAGGAGGTGTTCAGAGGTACGTGGGCATTAAGTAAGCGGGAGGAGGAAACTTCAGGGCCACTTTCTGCTTGTCCTGTCTGCAGACCAGATCTGTCTGTGTGGGGCTTCTCTTGCTTTATTCTTCTCTCTTGCAAATTAAAGGTAGAGCATGTTCTGGGATGGAGGATGGGAAGAAAGCAGGTCTGTGTCACCAGTGAACTCGGCAGATGGAAACAGAAGAACATATATGATTGAAGTCTTTTAGGGACAAAAGTTACTATTTGTTAGTAAGCAAAATGCACATTGCTGCTGAAAGAAAGCACCCAACTTCTTTTGACTGTTAGACACTTAAAGACTTTATCACAGTTTTGTGGCATAAGTTTATACTTCTAGCATGTGTAATCTTTGTGCAGCAGTTATATTATTACATAAATCTGTAGCTGTCCCCACTCCTAGGCTGATTTTAAAGGTTTGTGCAGGATGTTTAGACGTAGGAGGTAGAGTTTGAAGCTATTTCTCCTCTGCCCTTACTTCAGTGTACAGACTGGCTCCTTTCTCCCTGGCTGCACTGCTGTCGTGCCCAGCAGATTTTTGTCCCTTGCAAACTACCCCAGATGAGTTTTCCATTGGCAAATACGTTCTCTGCCCCAGCCCTTGGAGGGCACGAGCGCGGCGAGCGCCCAGCTCTCACCTTCATGATGTCAAAGCTCTCAGTTGCTCTCGCGTCACCCCGCTCCAGGAAGCAGCAAAAAACCCTTCCGTGGTCGCTTTGCTCCCTGAGCGCTGGTAGCCGGAGCGACTCCGGTCTGATCCTAGCGCTGCTCCCGTGCGAGGAGGTGCCGAGCAGCGGCGCGGGGAGGCAGCCAACGCGGCCGGCCCCGCTCGGCTCCTCGCCGCTCCTCGCCGTCCTGCAGTGCCGCCTGCCCGCTCCCTTCGGTGACTTTTCTCTCTTTCCTGTCTCCTGTTGCTCTCAGGAAGCTGGAAACGTGGGAGGCAACCGGGAGGCCTCTGGCATCGTCCCCTGCCGCGGCACAGCTCCGGAGCGCTCGCGGCACCGGGGCCGGAGCGCGGCAGAAGCGACGCTCCGGCTCCGCTCTGCTCTGCAGGGCTTGGTTGTGTTTCCGCTGCCCCTGGTGACGTGTGAAAATGGCAGCTCCGCCGCCAAGAGATTTTTCTTTCTGTTTGACTAAAAACAGCCTCTTCTGCGTTTGATGGGATCATTGTGCTCCTGAGAATCTGCTTTTTAATTTTTTTTTCTCATTGATTTTTGATGCTGCCTTTTTGCTGCAGCTGCTCAGACAGCTTTTGAAGAAATTTGATGTGTGAAAAATCATGTAATGAGATAAGCTGTGAGAGAATACTTGAGTGTCAATAGCAAGATGCCAGAATTTATTTGCTGTAAGCTTTACGTACATAGTGTATAAGAAGAGTCACAGGGCTCTGGATTTTTATTCTATTTTTACATGCCTCATGCAAGTTTAGTGGCTTACTGACATTTTCTGTTTAATTCAGTACTATTTTATTGGAGGAAGAGACTGTCTAAGACTACCAAAGTCTGCTTCCAAACTCAGAGGTAGGTATAGTCTGTGCAGGATAAGGCCATACAAATTTCTGTTTACAGGTAGGAATTTTCCTGTCTCTCATCCCTGTTGCAGTGTTGAGCAGACATTTTTGCTTTAACCTTGCCTTGTGAGATGTTAAAACCAAGATCCTGTTATTTTTAAGTTCCTTGTTGATTGAGGTGTAGATGAGATTAATGTTAAACAAGTTAATCTGTCTTTATTTTAGCTTCCACTGTGTCATGAAATTGTTACGTCTGGCCAGTGGCTTTCTCATGCAGAACGGAGTTTAGCGGAAAGTGAGTTGCTATAATTAAGTATTAGTTGTGCTAACATTCAATTGTGCATGTTAGAAATGTTGCAGACTAGTGGATCTCTTTCATGAGTAAGTACTTCGCAGTCTTGTTAAGAGAAGCTCGTATCTGAAAATAAATGGCTATTATCAAATGGAAGCTTTGTTTGGAAAAATAAGGTAATAGTTTTTGCTTTCTGCAAGATTTGAAGCAAATGAGCATGGGGCTGTGAAACAGATCAAGTTTAGTTACCGCTCTATGCATGCTACTGATTAATAAATATATAAATATATATATACACGTATATAAAATATATATAAATATATATATATTTAATATGGTTCTGTGTTGTCCCAGTTTTCCTAATGGGAAACTAGGGGTCTAATGGGAAATTAGGGTCTACATTTTAAAAGGCAGTGAGAATTCACAGATATAATCAGGTTCAGTCAGCACAAATGGACTCTGCCTGTTATCCACTGTAGTAGTACTCAGTAGCTGAAGCTGTCAAAACTAGGGAATGCATCTCCACATGCCTTCTGCTGCCTGCTAGGATACAGAAATAGTGCTTATTTCCCTTTCAGTGTTTCCAAGAGGTGTTCAATAATTATTGAGGTCCTAGGCCTTATTCCTATGCTAGAACTTTTCTAAGTTAGTGTGCACAGAAGCAATCTTCCTCTTTGGGGGAAAAGAAAAGGCTTTTTGGTTCACATTTCTTTGAAAGCCTTTTAGTGAGCACATGGAGTAAGATCTTTACTGTTCTTCTGCTAGTCCTTCCCTCCTCCTGTTAATGCACTGTTCTTGGGTAGCTGTAAGAGCGCGGCTGCCAGACATGCCGTGCTCTCCTAAATAGGTCCTGGAGAGGCTACAGGTGAAACCAGGCCTTTTTCTTGAACATAAGGCAAGTTTCCCTGGTGCCTCAGGTGGGATACTTGTTTTGTGGCCCATGGAAGTGTTTCTGTGAGGAACTGTTGAAGGAATGGAAATGTGAAACTGTGGCTAAAGCTTCTCCTTAAGCCAGAAGTCAGGAGCAGAATTCTGTTGAACAAGTGAAACAGTCAAAGAGCCCAGTTAAAGTTGTGGCTTGTCATAATAGAGACATTTATTTCAGATTAACCTTTAAAATGACCTAAAATAAAGAGTAAGTAGTATAGCAAGCCATCCAGGGAGGAAGAAGTCTGTAAATACAAACTGTTTGCGGACTTAAAGAGTTTATTTTCCCCCCCTTTCCCTTCAGTTACGTCCGTGTCTCTGCCTGCACAAGGCTCAGACACACCTTGGTTCCCTTGCTAGAAATGAAGCCCTTGCTTAACTGCTTGTGCGTGTGGGCCGGTGCCCTGGAGGGCTCCAGCAGATCTGTTTGGAGGACAGCAAATTCCTCTTGGTTCCTGGAGGCTCTTGCAATGAGCCCTTTTGGAGGTGGTCGTTGTATTGGTCTGGTGTTGTGTTATCTGGCTTGTGCGAGACCAGCTTTTTTCTTACACTTTTAAGTGCCTGCTGCCCATGTGAATGTTTTATTCTGTGTGTCCTCTGCAGGGTTTCTGTACCGACAGGGAGCCCAGCTCGCTGCTGTGAGTAGCCCCACCATTTTCAGCTCAGCGAGGAGAACTCGGCCTTTGGGAGAGGCTCTCTTACTGCAATGCTTCAGTCCAGCCAGAGCGCTGTGAGGACTCTTCCTTTGAAGAAGAGAATCTCTTTCCTGATGAAACTTACCTGCTTTGTAAGCTCCGTGTTCATATTTTGTGAATTTTTAATTTATTATGTGGTGATTTTTCAATGTCACTGGCCAGAAGTGAAAGCTGGAGCTCACATGGGTAACGGAGAGATTTCTACTTCAGTCCTGAAGGCCTTATTTTTAGCTGATACTCACCTGCTTGGTGAAATCAAGGGACATTGGCTGGATAAACTAAGAAGGTAATAACTGCATTTTTGGCATAATCTCTATCCTGATTTCAGAGCTTTTAGTAGTAACTAATGGGACCGATGGTTATAACTGATGTGGTACTTGTAAGGAGCAAGTATGCTGGCACTCACTTGCCTGCCTGGGCTGGGACTGATGGTGATGGCCTGGAGTTGAAAGGGCGAGGAATGGGCCTGCCTGGGTGCAGCAGTGAGCACAGTTTGTGCGTGCCGGTGCCCGGGCGTGCTGGGTAGGGCACACGCACGTTTCCAGGGCGTAGCAATCACTTACAAAATGCCTTAAAAAGGAGTCAGGTGACCTTGATGTACGTCCAGCTTATATATTTAATTGCAGAGATAGAGAAGCTGGTAGCAGTTCGTAGCAGAATAACTGGGGGCAAAATGAGATTTAAAAACAAAGATAATCCAGTCCCACCCTAATGCACAAAAAGCCATGTTGTTTCTGTCGATCCACAAAGCAGCAGAATGCTCCAAGAAAATATTAATTTTGACAGTGATGTGATCATCATTTTTTGTCAAAGAAACACAGTATAAACCCATGCACTCGTACAGTCAGAGCAGGTTGGCCAGAACAGTGTTTAACAAACTTATAACGCATAAAGATAAACAAGCTGGCATTACTGCTGGGCGTGAGTTGCTCCCGGTGGCTCTGGCGAGTTTGGAAGCTGCCACGGCATTTTAAACTCCTTCCTAAGTATTTAAATAGCATTTCGTCCTGGCACTCGTGGCAGGCAGGAGCTCTCCGTGCCGTCCTGCCGGGCGGTGTTTGTGCTGGGGGAGTCGGGATGCGCCGGGCGCGTGGGGCAGCCGTCACTGCCGGTGTGTTTTCCCCACAGGGAATGGCAAATGGAGAGATCTTTCCAAACTGCTTTGTGGCTGCTGCAGCCGGATATTGTTTTTATTCTGGGAGATGTCTTTGATGAAGGAAAATGGAGCTTGCCTCAGGTATGACATACACGGCTATTTTATTTGAAAAAGGAGGATTTCTTGAAGAAAATGGACTGCAGAATAAGGTGGACTAGGTGTGCAAGGGCTTATATATTTACTAGATTTTCTTGCTGATAGAAACTTCTAAGATGTTAGGTCAGAGGTGTACGGATGTGATTCTCCTTCATTTTTGGTAGCACCTTGGCACTTTTCCTCCTAATTTCTCCCTAGTTTTAAAATGCAAAGATCTCGCTGAGCTTGCACGTCCGTACTGCGTGTTCATGATTCTCTGCAGTATTGTGGAACAGAGTTAATCTGCCTCTCTCCCCGCAGGCATGGGCAGATGATGTCAGGAGGTTTCAGAAAATGTTTAGACATCCCGTTCGTACTGAGCTCGTGGTTGTCGCTGGGAATCATGACATTGGATTTCATTACGAGTAAGTCCTGGGGGTGAGAGGAATGGGCAGGCGCCACCTCTGAGGTGCCCGCCTGCGTTCATAGCAGCTGCTTTTGTGCCTCGCTGACTTCCCCTGCGTTTGTACAGAATGGTTTTGATCATAACCTGGTTGGAAGGGACCCAGATCTTAAAGTGGGTCATTACACATTAACATTGTAATTATCAATGTAATTAAACATTGAAAAATCTTTAGACTCAGATCTTAAAGTGGATTGTTCTGTGGAGGGCTCGCTAGAGGAGCGCGCTGCAGAGCTGTCCTCACACTCGCTTGGTGCTGCTCTGGGCACGTGAAGTTGGTCGCTCTGCATTTGCAGAGATGCCTCAGAGCTGCTCTTTCTTCAGTTGGGCTTCACTGGCTGATAAGTACTAGGTGTGTCTCCTTCCTCTGCATTCTCAGCATGGGAAGGTGTAAATATCCGTGCTCCTCTTTAGGATGGTTGTGCTGTGTCACATTAGTTATAATGCCATTTTTGTTCCTCATTTGTATTGTTGTTTTTTCACAGAATGACTGCTTACAAGGTGAAGCGATTTGAAAAGGTTTTCAACTTTACTTCAGGAAAGCTAGTAACTCGAAAAGGAGTAAAGTGAGTACGTATATATGCGTGTGTATATATGTGTGTGTGTGTATAAATATGTGTGTGCGTGTGTATTTCCACGTTCACAATAGTGGTTCCTGAGAGACTTGAATGCTGAAAGATGAGATCTGCAGGTGGTGTTGGAGTTCTCTGAGATGTGTTGAAGGAAACGCTGTACAAACAGGTCTCGGTGCAGAGCGAGGGCTGTTGCTTTGAGCAAGACGATTTGTGGTACTTTTAAATGGAAAAGTACTGTAGAGGTAGAATGGGCTTCTCTGGGTTGTGTTTTTACTTCCTTGCGGTTGGTAATGACCCATGGCTGTAAACATAGAAGGAAAATGGAATACAGTAAGGAGAAACAAACCACCCCCTTCTGTGCTTACCTATTAGAGTTTCATTAATTTTAATTAATTCTTTAATCCGCCGGCGGCGGTTCCCACTCCCAGCACTCGGCCCGTGCCCAGCTCTGCCGCAGGCCGGGGCTGAGCACAGGGCCGAGGAGCAGCCCTGTGGCAGCAGGGCCTGTCGGAGCCACCCAGGGCGGCATGGGAGCTCCTTGGCCATCTCCAGAGCCTGGGGACATCCCCGCTCCTGGGGCTGCCTCGGGGGCTCCCTTCTGCTCTGGTCACTCCTGCTCCTGTGGAGGACTCCGATGAGGGAGAATGAGGATGGAGTGAGGGCCCCTCCGTAGGTGTTTCAGCTGCTTTCAGAAAGGGCTGTCAGGGAAGTCTCCATGTCACCTTTGATAAAACAGCCCAGCAGAGTTCTTGCACCCAGCAGCAGATTTTATGCGTAGCACGGTATTTGCTAACTGAAATGAGCTACGTTGTTAATGAAGGGTTGCCAGATAAACTGTTCTGTAACACATCAGTGGTCTAAAAGCAGCTTAATTTGATAAGAGAATTTGAACTTATTTTGGTTTTGACCAGTAACTTAAACGGAGGCATTCAGCTCATTTATGTCTGTATATTAAATTAAGTTGGGAATGTGTTTTTTGAGTCCTGATCGGGAGACTACAACATGACTAAATGTAATGGCAAAAGTTCATAATTTGAAATACACTGGGGAAACTTTCTTTTACAAGTAACATCCCATTTTCCTTGGGAGAGACCACAAGGTGTGAAACAAAGTATGTTCAGGGCAGATGGCCAAGTGTTCTTGGGCTTTTCACTTGTTCAGAAGGAACTGCATTTCCTCAGATGCCCAGAGCACATCTTTAGGGAGAAGCAACTTCCCCTTCCCTTAGAATTCAGGTTAGCTGGCAGTTTAAGTGCCCAGTACAATATTAAAAGGAATCTTGACGCGTAAACATGGGATTTTGGGCACTCAGTGTGTTGTGCAACCGAAGCAGCAGCAGAGCATAAAACAACCTGCGAGGCAGCGGCACGGCAGCCTGCAGTGTGGCTGCTCAGGAGAGGCCTCGCAGCAGGTGATCCGGGAAGCTGCTGCGTGCACCTGCAAACACCTGCATTTTGTAGCAAATGAGGTTTATCCTGCTTCTGTGCACGAGTAGCAGCTGCAGCCCTGCCCCGCCATGCCCTTCACCCCGCTCGCCTCTCTCTTCCAGCTTCGTCCTAGTGAACAGCGTAGCCATGGAGGGCGACGGCTGCGCCGTGTGCGGCGCTTCCGAGGCGGAACTCGCGGCCCTTTCCCGCAGGCTCAACTGCTCCCTGCAGGTAGGAGCGTGGTGAGGATCTGGCGGGAGGCAGCGGCTCGGCCGCCGCAGCGGGATTGGTGCCGCGGCAGCGCTCGGGAGACAGCCGGGATTCGGTTCTGAAAAGGTCCTGCCTCCAGCTCAGGCTGGGCCTTGTCAGTGGAACTCCCTTCCTCTTGGCTTTCCTGTTCTTGTGTTCACCTCCTCGCACGGTGCTGTTTGCCAGTTGTGGCACTGTGAGCCAACTCTGTGCCCACTGCCCTGTCTCCTGCTCCCGGGAATGGCAGGGAATGTTCCTCAACCCGCCTTCCTGCCTTTGGCAAGAGATGTGTCAGAATCTCTGCGTTTAGAGTTGCACAGTTGTTCTCTAGCCTTCAGACCAGCCTATTCCTGTAGTTTCTAGCATCTTGTCTTGGCAGTTTAGTAAGGTTTTAATCTTTTTTTTCTTCTCTTTTCTCTTCTCTCATATTTCGTCCCTGTTCTTTTTTCCGCAGGCTGACTGGCACCCAGGCGGGCGGCGTGGTTTGCCGAGCGGGCAGTCAGGCAGGAGAGCAGCTCCCAGGGGAAGCACTGCCGGGCTGTACCCGCGCGCGCTCTCCCCTGCGGGTTGTCCTACATCTCCTCCTTGTTTGTGCAGTGAAGCCCTGCGCTCGCGCTCTCGTTCAGCAAGTGCAGCTGTATCTGCTGCACCCCCTTCATCCATGGCGGGGCATCCTGAGAGCGCTTTTACAGTGGGCTGTGCTAAAACACTCTATTCTGTGCTGAAACTGCTGTCCTCAAAAGCAGAGGACCCCCTCTGCAGTTACAGCTCAATTCCTTTCCCCACCCCTCCGCGACACGTAGGAGAAGGTAATTTTATGCATTGATTTTCATCCACAGAATCATTCCAGCAGAAGGTGCAGTGACGTGGAGAAGCTTCCAGCCTCAGAGCCGATCCTTTTACAGGTGTGTTGGGGGGAGGCAGGCTCTTGACATGGTTGACACGGTGCATTCCTTACCTTCCTGTGGAGGCTGGATCGCTAACGGCTGCTCCTTGCTGTGAATCCCCCCAGCACTACCCCCTCCATCGGAAAAGCGACGCCGAGTGCGCTGGGGAAGATGCCGCCCCTCCGGAAGAGAGGAACGTCCCGTTTAAGGAAAAGTACGATGTGCTCTCTCGGGAGGCCTCGCAAAAGGTTGGATTCGTTTAGCAGCCTTGGTGTCTTTGTGGGTATCAGGAGCTGAAAGCAGCCCCGTGGGGCGGCTCTGCCCACGGCCGCGGCGTCGCCACCCCCGTGTCGCACCTCGCGCTGCCCGTCGGGCTGCGTCGGGGCGCACCTGGCAGAGAGACAGCTGCTCTGCAAGTACTGCCTTTGCTGGATTAATTACTGCAAGAAACACCAAACTGAAATATTCCCAGCAAACCTAATGGGCAGTGTTTGTTTCCTTTCCTGCGGAGGAAACAAACTGGCAGTACAAAATTCCCCCGCAGGTGAGAAACAGCAGTGATTTATTAAAACGAAGCTCCTTTCATTGGTGATGCCACCAACCTGATCTTGGCTTTGTTGTTCTAATCTTTGGTTGCCTCACCTCCCAAAAATTCCAATATTTGGGATGAGGGCCAAGTAAGTGTGTTGAATATGAGAACAGAAACAAGTATTTTACTGGAAAACAGTAGTTTATACAAGGCACTCTATAAGAATATTAGCACCCCTTCCATTTTTATTCAGTCTGAGAAAAATTTGGTGTTAAGTTGAATTTAATTTTAGTTATGACTCAACTTCTGGCTTTGCCATTTTGTGTTCCAGCTGCTCTGGTGGTTTCATCCCCGTCTGGTTCTCAGTGGACATACACATAGTGCCTGTGAGGTGCTGCATGCGGGGAGGATTCCAGAAATCAGTGTCCCATCATTCAGTTGGAGGAACAGAAACAACCCTAGTTTCATCATGGTAAGTTTTAATTTTTTTTATTTTTGTCAGATAACTTTCATAAATAAATCAACATGGCAGTCAGCTATATTTTAAAACTGATTCTACCTGTAAAAACAAAAAATAAAAATAAAAAAGTTGCCTACCCACCCAACCCACTCAGTACACTGCATCCACTTTATAAAGTACAGCTGTGGGAGCCACATGTTCTGTGTGGTACAAAGCAATGCCGTTAAAGATCTAATCGGTATATGGGTACAAGCATCTAACATCTTTTCTTATAAAGAGGGTGCATTGTAAACTACTGACTTGTAGAAATGATCAGCACTGTGCACTGAACAGTAGAAAGACTAAGTTTTGCTCGGTCGGTGTCACAGCAGCTGTGACCCCCAGCCCGCGGCCGCCTCTGCGCGGTGCTCCCAGCTCGTGCCCTTGCGCAGGGGGAGCCTTTGCCACGTGCCACTCGGGTGCCTCCCCGTTCATGCCGTGTCCTGGTTATGCTCTCACAGATAGTTCCAGTGCTCTGTGTAGCCTTGGAGGTAAATCAATTAGTTCCCCAGTTCAAGAAATAAAACAGAACTCTTAAAAACTTGGAGTAAGAAGCAAAACCTACAGTCCTGTTTACAGAGTAATCTGTGAGCTGGGGCAAAAATCTTGAGTGTATTTTGCTGCTCTTGGGTATAGGCTGTTTGTTACACAGGTAACCCCACAATTCTAAATTCCTTTCATCCAACTGTTAATATTCCTTGTTAGTTCTGTTTATTCTGTATTCCTGAGAGTGGCTGCCTTCAACCCGCCCACGCGCTCCGCGCGGGCCAGGCAGCGGCGTCCTCACTGCAAGCAGCTGCCTCGTCACAGTGGTGGTGTCTTCGCTACCCCTTGAGATCAGCCTCAGGCTTCTGTAAACTTGACTTTGAATCGCAGATTCAAACCCAAGCCACACTAAGGGCTCCTATGTTGCTGTCTCAGCTCCTGCTAAGAGTTTAGATTAACCACCATGGGTTTGCAGCAAGGGCCGGGTAGAAGGAGGGCTTGGAGAGGAGGAAGGGGCGCGTTCCCCAAGCCCGATGTGAGCCGCGCTCCAGCCGCTCACGTTTGGCTTCTCTCGAAGGCGGCTTGGGAGGGGGGCAGCGCTGCTGACTGCAGGTGGAACGGGGGCAAGTTGGGCCCCTGGGCTCGTGCCGGCTGGCGAATGCCCCCGTCAGTGCCCAGCGCCACCAGCGCCAGCCCGGGAGGAGGCACCGGGCCGGGGCCCGGCCCTTGCTGCCCCCCACGGCTGCCGC